TGATTCATAATTTGCTAAAAACCGCGACTCTCTCGCACCCCCCTCCCCGTCGCGAAAATATGCGCATCGTTTGTATTCACGGTACGCGCGGAGAAACTTAAATTGCCGCGATTAAACTCGACACCGCGCGCGCGCGCGCATGGGAGATTAATGAATTTTCGGAAGCGTAAAATCTCTCGATACTCTACGCGGCAATGTTTCTACTCTACGCGGATCGATCTGCAAATTTCGCGGCGCTCTGTTCGACTGGTTTTAATAAACGAGCGCGCGAAGGGAATGCAGATCGCGCACGAGATATATAGGATAGCTACATCTCGGTGGACCGCGGGAACGAACCGACGGCTTTTTCTCGCCCTCGTCCGTCCCTTTTTCTCTCCCTTTTCTCTTCCGTCGTCGTCGTCTCTCTTTCTCTCACTCACCCTCTCTTTTTCTCCCACGCGCGCATCTCCTTGAGCAAGACGTATCGACGCGGATTTTTTTTCCGCGTCAGTCATTTATCAAAGCCCTTCGTTCTCGGTCCCACCCCACCCACCCGATACACGCGGATCTGGCCGAAGGATTTAGGCAAAGAGACTAGACGGAGATGGAAAAGGAAAAGGGTGGCGATGGGTGGAAGGGAGAGATGTACCCTTCCTCGAATCACATCCGGCAGTACGAGACATAAAGCTCATTCTACAATAGAATAAACGAGTTGTAAGCAGTTGTAGTTGTAAAAATTGATCACTTACAGTCGAATATAAAGAGAATATTCGATTGTGATTGATCAATTTTCATTAATACAACCACTTATAACTATACTACACAATTATAGAACGGGCTTTAAATATCCCGTTAGTACTGCTCGAGTTGTACCAATATATGTAATTTGAAAACAAAATTTCAACATTTACCAATTTTAATAGACTTCAAATGCAAAAGACATCACGGCACTTGGAAAAAAAATGTTGTACCGTTAATTTACCGCGTTTTCAGCAATTTCATATTTCTCGTTAGTTCTAGCAGAATTCTATGCTGTACAGCTATTTTTAAACAGAGTTTGTTTGTTATTTTTTCAATTTTGGTTTTTTAGTATAAAAATGCGGAACTTTTTTTTACTTTTATAAGAAACTGTAGAACTATGAAAAGTGCTACTAGAATTGTTATTATTTCTTTTATTTTAATGGAATATTGTGCTAACTTTACAAATTTCATTTTTGGGTATCCATGAAGTTAGCACGACATTCTATTAATCTAAAAGAAATGATAGATCCAATAGATCTAATAGCATTTTTCATCAGCGTTAATAAAAAAAGGCTAATGTTTTTTTTTTTTAAGAATAAGACATTGTGTTTCTTCTTAAATATGTTTTTAATGCTTCAAATATGCTTTAAACAGTACTTTAAAAAAACATATTTAAAACATATTAAAAAAATCAACTAAGCATGTTTTAAACATGTTTTTTTACCAACCCTGCTTTTCATATTAAAAAATCAAAACTGAAAATATGACGAGCTAACTTCGCGAATCTAGCATGACACTTTTCCTCTAAAGTACAAAAAAAAAAATATTTTCACTTTTAGCTACTCCCCGAGGCTTCTCTCGTCCTCTCGTCCGTTATTAGCAATACAGTTCAACAAGAAAGAATAGCCGCGAAATAGAAGCGACCTGCATTCATCGACAATCGCGCTTTTTATCCATTCTTTTTCTAGCGCTCACGTCCGTGGCGTGCCAGATCTTTCGGCTATGACGAATAATGGCAAAAATACAGACGGACGTATTGGAAGGTACGACGTAGCTGCGAACATGGTAATTAAGACCAAAGCATTAATCCTGAAAAAATTCGACGGCCGTGCGCTGCAGTTGGCTTGGGCAATTTTTGCCCAGCCACGTCCTCGCACGCAACCTTTCCCCGAGGAGAGCTTCACTTCCTCTCTGTCCTCCGCCTCCCCCGTTCCCTTTCGCAAGAGCTCGATCGAGTATCGGATGCTTGTGGTTTTAGCGCTAGCACGAGCGGAGGAGACCAACGACGCTACGGTAAATCCTTTGCCAACTCGATGACCTACAACGCGCGCGCGATTACACCTGCCCGATCGCTCTTCCATTTCCGGGGAACACACTCGTGAAATCTTGCGAGCTAATATCAAATTCGATTGGATTTACTCAGCGCGAACTGATGTATATTAAAGCCGTCGTACATAAATTGCTGTAAAAGATGTGTGTTTAATATAAATTACAACAGAAACGGGTTAAACCGTGAAATCAAATACATTTTATTGTGCTGTTAAGTAAAATATGTATTTTATAATTCGAATATTGCATTTCACTTTTACACTTAGATTAAATCAGTGTATAATGGCATTAATACGCATCAGTGCGCACTAATGCGTTCAACCGAATTCACTATCAGATTTGGGAGGCATTAGAAACGTCGCACTCGCGAAATTTATGTTATTCTGCTATTTTTTCTAGAGGATCTCTTTGATTACGTTATTATGCAACGATCGAGCAGCTCGAGGACGAGCCGAAGACAGCAAGTAGTAAAAGAAAGCGACGTAATTTCACTCTATTATAAAAAGGCAAGCGCCATCAACTCGGCCGTCGTTAAAAAATTTATAGCATGGAGTCAGTGCGTAGGTGGCAGCTAATCTGATCGAGCATGATGAAAATGACACGTGACAGCGACAGCGGACTGCTGATTCCGGCTGGACCCAGAAACGTATCTTTCTATCTCCCACTCCGTTTCCTTGCAGGTCTTCTGCTTCCGAGCTTCTATAAACTCCGGATGGTGGTGCGTGAACGCGAGCGCGAACGCTACACGACCTTTTGTTATCTCCTTTGAAAGAGACGCGAGTGCATATTGCATTACCTTGCGCAGAGCGCAAGGAAAATGGAGATAGACAACGGAGGGAAACGAGAGAGAAGAAGAGGGAAAACCATGGCGTCAGAGAAGAGCGGGTCAACCCGCCGAGTTTCATAAATATTTTCTGTACAGGCGTCGCCAAACTAATTTATGGTAGCTGAAGTATACGGGACGTAACGTTACGCAACGTAACGAAACTCGAGATGCGTTACGTCTTATTGCGTCATTGTTAGGGAAAATTTGTGAAGTATGAAAGAAAGTCGTTATAATACATACAGAATCGATGTCCATTTCTATAAAAAATTAACTTTAATTTTGGATTATCTTACTATTCGTCTTTTTCTAATTCTGACAATTAGAAAAAAGAATAAAAGCAAGTTCTCAAGGAATGCACAAAAAATCAAAATAACTTTATTTTGATTCTGAAACACTGAAAAAAGGAGTGTTTAACTTTAAGGTATTAAAATGTTTTATTCTTGTCTCCATTTTTTAAACACTTAAAGATGTTTTAATTTTAAACTAAAATACCTTAAGTGTTTAAAACATAGGGACAAAAATAAAACATATTACTTTTTACAGTGAAGTTAATAAACAGTTAAATTTTGTAACAAAAAATCATCGTTTTAACTTTTACTGTATCATGTAAAAAAAATCATTTTGACTTTCTCTTAACTTGATGTGTTCTTTGGATTATATGCCAAGATTAAAGCTAATCTGTACATTGACAGAAACGAACATGTATCAGAAGTCGCCTTGACTGAAATTGTATCGTCTACAGATGATTTCTATAGGTGAGACAGATCAAGTAATTCTGATATGCGGCCAAATAAAGCTCTTTTGATAGTCGAGTGTATTTAAAGTACAATTTAAGAGCCATTCGGTAGAAATGCGGAAAGAAAAGAAGCGAAGAATCCCTCGCAATGAAATACGAGTGTTTGATTAGGAACACACCGTGCACATTATTCATGAGCGTGTATGGAGTGTGCTCGCGCATATGCAAATACACGACGTTGTCCAAAAAGCAAATACATGCTACCGTAAGATAAGACTGGTTCAAGGGCTCCAGGATATCCCTGTTGGGGACATCAAGAAGGACTCTCGCGGTCCCGATCGAACCACGAATATTAGCGATAAGCTCTTTTGTCGAGCATGGTAAAATTCGTTCTCGTACACTCTTCCCGATGCCTCTAGTTTTTCCCACACGTATATTGGATTCAAACTTACACCGCACTTCTGACTTCGTTAAAGGTTGACTAATTAAGCGCAAACGACGTAACAAAAAGTATAAATTAAGCGAAAGCAGAAACAAGAAAGGATCATTTTTGCACGTAAAAGAGAAGATTTTAGAATGTTTTTCGTATTAGAATGTACAATAACTTCTGTAATAGCGTGTTTAATGAAAATAATACTGTTCGTAAGATGTTGGAAGATTCTTTTAAAGAATCGGAGATAGAAGGCTCAACAGCTGCAAGTCTAAAAATAACTAATAGATTTCTTCTGTTTTAAAAGTCTTATACCCTAAAATAAAATATGGTCCTGAGTTCTGCCTAAATTCGTGCCATGTGTTTCTTGTTTTATACTCCGCATTTTGATTGTTGGATGATCGTATAGATGCTTTCTTTGGCTTTCTATTGTATTTTACAAATCTTAATAAATATTTCTTTCCCAATCTAACTGTTATATATGAATTATATTTTTAATAAATTGAAGGGCGGATAAATATGTTTAAGAGAAATTGTAAAGTCTATTCTTAGCATACAAGTTGAAGTAATAAATTTTTCTTCTATTTTTAATAAGTTATTTTTTCAGTGCATCCTTATTCCCTTTTTAGCATCCATTTATTAATATTACCTAATATCAAGTGTGACCTATGCAACGCAGTAGACCGCGACTAAATGACCGGATACACACAGTCTGTGTATACAATCTGTGTGTATCCGGCCATTTAGATAATTCAATTTCCTTTAAGTGAAATAATAATAGTAGCGTGGCCCCAAAAAGAATTTGGATGTTGGGGTAGGCACAGTAGACGACAAAGAATAGGATAGGTTGGTAGGGAGACGAGAATGGGAGAAAATGGGAGAATGGTGGAAGAGCCAAGTCATTTGTACGAGTCGCCGAATATAAATACCAAAGACGAAGTTAAAAAGTCACCAGTAGAGGAGCGGACCCAGTATTGTGAGCTATCACATATACCAGCTTTGAATTACTTCTAACACGAAGAGGACTCGGTTGTAAGATCAAATATTAGCATTAGTATAGTTGCATGTGCTTATGCGTACATAATAATTATATTTCCTTTCTTTTATACTGCTTACGAATCGATATAAGCAAAGATTTCTAGCATCGATTTGTAAATAATATAATGTCAAACTTGGTGAAAATTTTTTATATAATTTTTCAAAATTTTTCTAAAATTCTAAATAATTTTTTAACTTTTAGAAAATTTTTTAAATGTTTTATATAAATTGGAACACTTTTTAAAAGTGTCAAGAAAGTTTACATATTTTTTTTTAGAATTCTTCATGTATGTAAAAGTATTTAAAGTATTTTAAGGTTTCTAAGATTTCTCATTCTATAATTTTCAGTGAAAACTTATAATAAAATTTAAAAGATTTTAATGCATACATAATAATCACATATCCTTTTTCTTCGTGTGTTTTGTATTGAGAAAAACAAATGTTCTTGGTATCAACTTGTAAACAGTGTGATACCACATCATTTATATAAGAATCGTACAAATACAAAAGTATTCATTGTTAGTATGTTTTAACGTTGGAACGTTTTTAACATTTGACAAAGGATATACAAACCGAAGATCATATTGCAGATCATGGAGATGGCTGAGGACTATGTTAACAGTGGAAGTAACATGCAACGTCGTGACACTCAGGATGTCATAGATGAATTTAGTTGTGAACTATCAAACATGCGAGGAAAATGTCTTGATATCGGTTCAGGCCCAGGGAACATTACCAAGGAGTTGTTACTTCCGATCTTACCACACGATGCGGAGGTAGTAGGTAAGCAAAAGCAAACAAAAATTTGGTATGCGGTTTCTTTTAACAAAAAAATCATCTCGTAGGCGTGGATATATCCCAGCCGATGGTTAATTACGCCAGTCAGAAATATAGTGATGAGAAACGATTGTCCTTCGTTGTTTTGGACATCGAAACATCGGAATTGCCAAGTGACCAAGTTGAGCAATATGACAATGCCGTGTCTTTCTATTGCTTGCATTGGTGTAACGATATATGGTATTTTAATTACTTTCTTAGATAACGTTTAAAGAAAAAAAGATTTTGTAAATAAAGCAATTTCTATAATTAATTTTATATTATTAGAAGAAAATTATACGGGAATATTTATATATATTATATTAGTGAGTGCTTAATCAATGTTAAAAAATATTTTAATTTTTTAAATTAAGTTATCAAATTTTCAGGCGCGCCTTAGAGAATATTTACAAGTTATTGCGACCAAATGGAAAAATGCTTATAATGTTTCTTGGATATCATTCTGGATTCGAGGCGTACATACGACTCAAGCAGTATCCACGATATCAATCTTATCTCCAGGTATTAATAATTAAAATAAATAGAACACGTTTAACAATAATGTTAACATTAAATTTAAATGTCTGTATCCTCCTCTTTAAGGATGCATGCCGTTACGTGCCGTATTTCCAAAGAAGAATGTGCAAAGATGTCAGAGCGAGTCTGCGAAAAATGCTTGAGGACGTTGGCTTTGAAATTCTGCACTGCAGCAAAAGAGAGAAAAGTTATCACTACAGTAAACAAAGTCTAAAAAGTAAGATACTGAATAACTAGACAAATTATTATCTGTCTACACGTATAAGGATAAATTAAAGCATTGTAACAAAAATTAATCGTTGCAGCTAAATACGAATTTTTGTTTCTTTGTTTATGTAAAGTAAAGTTATATTTGTATTTTTGCAGATCACGTGTGCGCTGTTAATCCTTTCATCAAGCGGCTCCCCGATGATATGAAAGACGAATTCGTGGACAACTTGTTAAGCGAAATAATGAACCAGAATGTTCTGACCCCGCTTAAAAGCAAAAACAGCCTACAGGAATACTTAATATTGAGATATTACCTCTTAATAGCGTATGTACAAAAACCGCCATCAGCTGTTTGAAGATTTTAAAGTACAAAAAATGTGTATATTTTTAGATAATTTTTAAATAATAAGTAATGCAAGATTAAAAACAACGAATAAAATTCAATCATTTTTATTTTATCTGTTGACAAAATTAATTAAAAATGATGATGTTAATCACATTTTGTAAATCAAATAAATAAAGAATACTAATTAATTTAGTAAAACTTGTCGATATAGTTACATTCCATCGATATCACTTTAAACAAAAACTTACATTTCTACGAAACGTGTAAAAGTGAGGAAAGGAGGAAAGAACAAATACGTTACCACTTTCGACAGCTTGCCTCCTACACACTAAATTTTATGTATATATTGTACGCTATATCTTTGATTTTACAATAGTACAGCCATTTATAGAATATCATTATTATAACTTATGGATCATATCGTACGGATACAAGAATGGGCGTTACGCTATCGATATTCGCATAGCGGGTAATAATATTTCTAACTTTGTTTTCTAAAAAATACACATCCAGGCTTACAAATAGTCTTAAAACCGCTGACATCGATCGTGTTTGTTGACATCGCGCCTCATAGAAAATACGACTAGCAAACCCGAAAGGTCATACGAGCAAGCTCATATTAATTCCTCGTAACGTATAGCGATAATTAATCGCACGATTATTTCCGTATAATCACAAAGATTTTCTTCAACAGCTGCTCCAAAGAGTGCAAATAGTCATATTTCGAGCGGTAGCGCATTTCAAGATGGAAGCGGTCCAAACTATTGTGTGCCACGAAATATCCTCTATTCGAAATTTCTCCGTATTCATTTGCAAGCTATTTTTCAGTTGCGTCGCAACTGACCTCCCCTTGACTCTCGCATAATTCATAAATCGTCGTGTAAAGTAAGTTCGGAGACATAATCTCGCTGTGAAATCAACGCGGCGCGGATAGAAGTTTCTCGGTTGAGAGCATGAATTTTATTGCACCTCGATATTCAAATCGAGTACTAACAACGCCGTAGTTAATCAAGCAACGGAAGATGTATTTTAAACACCCGCCGCGTGTAACGTATATTCCATCTTATGCTCCTGTGAACGTAATCGATAATGCGCGAAGACTTTTTTTTTAACTCTCAGTATATTCTAGTTATTAGGACTTTCCGCAAATACTCGCCTATTTCCTACATTACGAACGAGGACATCACCTGTCACAGTAGTAACCTTCCACGATCCGCTGTGATTCCTGATTAGCATATAGTACGTAACAAACGCGCTCTCAAGTTCGAGCAGTGTACTTTATATAATAATTGCGAGAGTAGTAAAGCATCGGATCTCTCTTATGAGTGTCAATCTGCTCTCAAATCTCACCGATTAGCCTTCCATGGCATTTAAATTTTCAGGTAATATCATAATTCCAAAAAGCAGATTTTACGAATACGCGTTAGAGATACGCATTTTATTTCAGTTTACGGAGCAAAAGCTGTAACTGGAAAATTATAAATTCCAAATATTTTATATTAGATTGTTTAAAGTGCCCGAAACGTACGTTTCGAGAGCGAGATTTTTGAGCGTCTGTAATCCGAATGCCTTGCAATTAGTTTAATTATTAGTTATTAGCTGTCTTAAGAATGTCTTAAGATGTCTTAAGAATGTCTAAATCGTTTGGGACAACTGAAACATACTTTTATCGATTATGAGCTAATGCCGTAATTGGTAAAACGAAGTGAATAAGTAACGCTTCCTTAATGTATCGATCGCTTAATTGGTAGTAAGTTTCTTATTTAGTAGAAAGGACATCGAACATCAAATACGATTATTTAGAAAAGAGGGATTATACCTGGATGAGAACAGCGAAGGATGATCGAGGGCAAGGCACAAGTGAGTCAGAGAGAGGGAAATTATTTTGTGTATGCCATTATGTACCTTTCGTCGCGAGGTACATCGATTAAGATCGATACACCGCGAGATATACACATACACACACGCACACACATGATGTATATTATATTATATAATCTGACACCATTGACGTAATTAATCGACAACTATTGCTAATAGCGGGACAAATATCTTATTTCTATCGATACTTCCACACTCTTTTACGCATGTTTCCCTCACAGCGTGAAGCGATTAATAATTCATTTCTTTAGACCATTCAAAATCCGAAAACATCGGATGAAGTAACAGGGGGATTCCCGTTGAAAAGAATAATTTGCAAAGCACGCGACGTAAAAGTACAATGTAAAAAATATCGCAAGATCTACATATTTTTGTGAAAATAGACACGTTGAATGAGAGTTGAATTGTAAGTTTTAAACTCTATGAAACGAGAAAGGCCATGAATTCGGAATTCATGAACGCATGAAAGAAAGAGATCCAAGATCTCAAAAAATATCAGCTTTTTTTATAAAGCAAAATATTTAGATAAAATCAAGAGTCGCGAAGAATCAATAATTCATTCATAAATTAGGATTAATAATTTATAAAATCGTATAGATCTACAGAAAGAGAAACCATAAAAAGATAATTTTTGTAGAATGACATCTACAGTTTTTAGTTTAACGATCTGCGAAAAAAATCTGCAAGTACCTATAGAAGTAAGATCTCCGTTCAAGATCTGATTCCTTCACGGAGCTTCATCACATTGATGCTTGATTAATCACCGAATAAAAAATCGCTACATGGCAAGAAAGCATAGCCGAAATTACGTATAGCTTAATTCTCGGTAGCGTTTCCTTCCGATTCTTTCATCACGCACATCCGATATATGCCGAAATACGCGCCATGTCGCTCGAGAATCACGCTTACTATAAATTCTCATTTACCGCATGATAGCGGTAGAGAGAACGCGAATAGAATACATTAATTACGCATTTAAGACCGTTGCTGCTTAGGTACTTTCATAGTGGGATGTTCGTCGTTGGATTTAGCATGGATGAAATGCACGTAATCGAAATGCGACACGCGCGATGAAAATTACAGGATTATAAACTTAATTATCATAGACGAAATGAATGAACAGGAAGCACGAGAAATTAAAAACGCAAGTAATTCAGTAGTTGCTAGAAATCGATCATCATTATGCATCGTCAAATCATGCTGCCTAATTAACACTACATTTAACACTAGAATCGCGGGTCTAAATTAACTCAATCACGGTTCAAGGTAAATTTGGCATTCTACGAGGGAGGGTTGTCGTTATAAAAGTAAAATTACTTGTAATTAAGTATGATTATTTATGAAAAATCACAAACTCACAAAAATCTAAAGCTTCTCGTACAAATTCAAATTAAAAGAAAAACTATTATCAAAAATTGCACAGCCGCGATTCTAGTGTTATCGCAACATATTCTTTCTTGTTTATTTCTCGTAAACACTACATAATCTCACACTCAATTAACGTTTAAAAACCCGCATCAATTCATACTATTATGAATGCACGATACTCCGATCAATATCTCTATTCAACTTAAATTAATCAAGTTAAATTAATCATAAATGGAGAAAGAGGAGCGGGAAAAATACGGGAGATAAAATGCGAAATCAAAACAAATTTGTAAACACAACAAATCGTTATAATCTCTCGTCGCTATTTACAAAAACGGAAGAGTACGGACCGACGAATCGAACTAATCATCGATTAAAGAACGAGAGGTACATAACCGGGAAATACATAAAAATCACGAAACATATTACGAAACGATAACGATAATGGATCGACTTGGACGAGACGATCGAACACGAGCATGTGGTCAGCGCCGAACGGCCAACGCTAATTGTAAGTATAACGAGATTCGGCGCGGCACGTCGTTCGTGCTGCCGCGACTAATAGCGAATTCGATTGAACGCACTCAGCACACACTGGTGTATATTAAGCCGTCGCGGCATACACAAATTGATGTTAAGCTTGTATTTAATGTATTTAATATAAATGTAGAAATAAGTTAATATAAATTTAATATAAATATAATTAAATTTAATATTTATATTAATAACATAATTATTATTTGATATAAATATAAAAACGTAAAATTCTCAATATATTTCATTGTGTTGTTAATAAAGTATGTATTGTATTTTATAATTCGAAATACTTACATTTCGCTTTTATACTCGGAAGGTCAATCGTGAAACTTTTTTTTCCCTAGGACGGAAACGCGAAAAGTGAAAATTTTTTGTATGTAAGTGTATATGCACACATATACCTAAAAATTTTCAACTTTTCACGTTTTCACTCTAAAGAAAAAGTTATGATCGATACCTTAATAAGTGCACGATGACTTTAATATGTACCAGTGCGGATTATAAGTGCGTTCAACTGGATTCGCTACAAGTTAAGGAGGGAAGACAATTATTTGACAAATCATTTTGTACGGGACGCGACTATTCTCAGTACAAAGTAGATAACGTATACATCTGTACATGCCGTACTCCGCCACGGGATGAAACGCCATCAGGCGTCGCGCTATCGATCGCTACCGCGTCACAATCATCGACGAGTTTCCTTTTCTCCCGCTCTCTTCGCGCTTTTCCTCTTTTTTTTCTCTCGCCGCCTTCCTTCCCTTTTTCTTTCTCTTTTTCTTTTATTACGAACAAGGGTTACAATCAAACGAGCACCTTACGATGCAACGTTACAATCTCAACGATCGAGCTTTCGATCGTGAAGCGGATACGGGATCGTTGAACGTAAGATTCGCGCTTTTTTTTATTTTTAAAACAATACGTTTGCATCCTACAAATCAAGACGCTATCGATCGCTAAAGGTACACGTAAATGTGCAGCGTTCTAAAGCGAGGTTCCTTGGGATGCGGAGTTCGTCGACAACTCGGACTAATAACGCAGGCTTTCTGTAGAATATCGTCGTTGCACCATATTTACACATACATTGAGTTTACTCTACTTCATTGTAGATTGAGAACTGATGATAGCGTCGCTGTTAAAACTGATAGACGATCCAAAAACGCGGCGGCGGCTACGCAGCGGTAGAATTCTAATATCTTCGTAATATCGGTGCAGTCTACTCGACCG